TATTCTTCACATTAACCACTTTGAATTCATTAAGTAGACAAATTTTATGTAACTTTTAGGTGAAAATCAGGGAAAAACCAAAAATTCGAGAAACTTGCATGGGAATGGCGCCTGAAACTGGACCATACACATGTATATCAGACCCGTTTTCGGTTTTATGTTGCTGTAAGAATGGTAAGCTTATAATTCAGCACAGATTAGATAGAATATGCATTTTGTCATTTTCAAAATTTTGATCAAACTCTGATCCTTTCTCATTATTTTGGCAGATTTAGGGGAAATTTCAAATTACTGAATACTCATGAATGTTTGAAGTGAAGGCAGTGATTCTATCACTGTTTCATTAACATTTTCTTTGAATTGAAAATTAAAAAAAATGAAACAGAAAAAAATTTGGGCATAAATATCAATTAACTTTGAATATTAGAATAATTGTTAAGTTCTTCCATATTAATTTCATTACTTCTCATTTTTTTCATCTTGCAATATTAATTACACATTACGCAATAAATATAGTCTTGCAGTAATTAATCATAAAGGAAGTGAATTTTCATTATTTTTTTCAGCCTAAATTCTACCAAAAATTTGAGCAACATAAAAAAAAACTGTAATAATAAAATTACAACTTTAAAATAATCTCAAAAAGTATGAGATTAAAGTAATCGTTTCTTGTTGCAGATAACAATGTTCCATGCAATAAACAAAAAACAATGCTAAAATTTTATATGCGCGAAGTGAGAACATTTAATAATTTATTATGGAAAAAAGAAGAACAAAAATATCGTAACGAACGGTATCACTGTATTAATTCAGAAAAAAAAGCACAAAATTGTCAAGCAGTATTGGGTTGCTATGAAGTTCGTTTAGCTCAATCTAATCTCATCAAAAACCATGGACTTTCAGTTGAGCTAAATAACGTGAAACATATGTCAAATTCATCGGTAACTTTTAATAATTGACGAGAAACTTATCAAACTTATCAAATATAAATTACAAATTAGTTGGAAACCGTTAACTGAAGGCTGAAAAAAAATGTCACGTAAAATGAAAAAAGTTTACGCTTGAAAAATGAATTATATAAATTTTTTTAAAAATGCATTGGTATTCGAAGCATAAATGATGCAGTTTTGTTTTAGCTTATGAGAAAAAATTATAGTGAAATAATATCTCATGTAAAATTTTTTATCCATTAAATCTTCAGAGTTATTTTTCAGTTGAAAACAAAAGCAAGAATTACAACTGAGCTTACATTTAAAAGACATTTTGCTCTAATTTTTAAACATTACGAATATTATAGTTTCCATGGGGTTGTATTTCTGATATTGATGATATATTACTACAAAGCTACCCATATCTAGCGACATGTTTGAACTATGCTCGTAAAGGATATATCGAACGTTGCTTTTACACGGGTGAACGTGATTTAGAAACTGATACACCCATAATAATGTGTTGTTGTAATTCAAATATATACGGCGACTGTTTACATCAAATGAAAACTTCACAGTTTGGATATTTATTTATGAACATATCTATTTAAAATCTGTAATCAATATGTGTTCTTCTGTCGTTACTTTGCTATTACATAAAAATGTTTCAAATTTTTGGCATAAAAAGTGAAAAAGAAATTGAATTCTGCAGTGGATTTCAATTTAAATGCAAAAATTGCAAGTTATTTAGATAAGTACAAATATTAAGTACCAAAAAACTGGACATTGATTAAGAATCTTCCATTTTGGAGAAGAATAGATCAATTTATTACCAGCTAAAATCTAGGTGTCAAACATTTTAGCAGTTTCTGAGTAGTTTACAAGGACAGTATTCACTAGAGGTAATTAAACTTCGAGCCATTGAAGCTACTATTAATTCCTTTGCACATTCAATATCATATTCCGCTTTAGACGCTTTTTTGCAGCAATATGCATTTCATGGTTTCTAGTAGAAACCAAAGTATTCTCGAAAGAATTATCTCTAAAGTGCGTTGTAACAAATAAACGAATGGCTTACTATCG